CAGTTCTGATGCCCTCTTCTGACCACCTAAAGCACCAGGCATGCACATGGTCGGTGCACATACACATACACAGGCAAAACACCCATACACATAATTTTTTTTGTTTGTTTTTCGAGACAGGGTTTCTCTGTGGCTTTGGAGGCTGTCCTGGAACTCACTTGGTAGTCCAGGCTGGTCTCGAACTCACAGAGATCCGCCTGCCTCTGCCTCCCAAGTGCTGGGATTAAAGGCGTGCGCCACCAACGCCCGGCTTAATTTTTTTTTTTTGAGACAGGGTTTCTCTGTATTGCTTTGGAGCCTGTCCTGGAACTCACTCTGTAGACCAGGCTGACTTTGAACTCACAGAGATCCACCATAATCAGAATGACCATACAGGGTTTATTTCTATCTTTACATAAGGGAGAAGGACTCTGATGCTATCATTCCTTCTTATAAGGAGATCATCCATAGTTATTTTTGATGGGTGTAGCTCTTTAACAAACACTACTAAACTGATGGAAGATTTAGCTTATTTTTCAAATTATCTGTTAAGCTGGACATGGTGGCACATGAATCAGTAATATATCTCAACAATCCCAACATTTGGGAGACTGAAGCAGGGAAGACGCTGAGTTTGACATCAACCTTAAGCACACAAACATATCTGTCTCACTAAACAAATAATATTTAGAAGGCAATCACGCCAAAAGCAAATGTAGTTTTCACCTAGAGACAGAATTGGCAATTAAACATTACCTGTTTTATTTTACAAACCTTGTACAAGGTATACCAAGGCATGCATCACCCTACCTAATAAAACATTTTAGTCTTGTGTAAGGCTTACATAGTTACAAAAGTTGAAAAACGATTAAAAACAAGTCAGGCAACAACATTCATCAAAACAATCTACTTCAAGGAAACTTCAAAATACATTTAAGAATTTTTATTTTCATTTACCTTTTTTTTTTTTAGATGTCTCACCCTGTAATTTTGCTTTCCCCAGTATTGGGATTAAAGGCATGCACCAACCAAGTTTGTTGTTGTTTTTTTGGTTTGTCAAGACAAGGTTTCTCCATGTAGCACTGGTTGTGCTGGAACTAGCTCTATAGGACCAGACTGGCCTCTAACTCAAGAGATCCGTCTGTCTGTCTCCCCAAGTGCTAGGGATTGAAGGTGTGTGCCACCATTGCCTGCCAAGTATTATTTCTTTTTTTGCTTGTTTGTTTTTGTTTTGAGACAGGGTTTATCGGTATTGTTTTGGAGGCTGTCCTGGAACTCCCTCTGTAGACCAGGCTGGCCTCGAACTCACAGAGATCTGCCTGCCTCTGTCTCCTGAGAGCTGGGATTAAAGGCATGCACCACCAACGCCTGGCTTCAAGTATTATTTCTATGTGTCTCTAAAACTAAAACTTTAGGTTACTGAAATGGCTCAGTGGTTAAGAATCCATGCTGGTCTTGCAGAGGATTGAAGTTGGGCACCCAGTACCCAAGTTCAGTGGATCAAAATGACCAAACTCCAGGGATCCAACACCCCTCTGGTCTCCATGGATGCCTTCACAAATAATTTCATACACAATACACACATGCATTAAAACCCTAAAACCTGCCCATACTGAGAAAAAGAGATCTAAGCTGACTAGCCTCACATCTGAGTTTCACGAAGATGTGAAAAACATTACTGGATTCATTAAGTTTCAACCCTCATCATCACATCTTTCCAATGTAAACCTCTGACTTACTAGGTTCATGTCCCATATTTCGTGTAGTTTCCTCTTGCTGTAATAAAGACACCCCGACAAACACAACATTGGGGAGATAGTTTTGTTTTTCCTTCCAGAGATGGTTCTCTGGGGAGCCCTTGCTGTCCTTGAATCCAGAGTTCTGTAGACAGGGATCCTTCTGCCCCTGTCTCCTGAGTGCTGGGACTAAAGAGACACACCACCACGCCAGGCTGGGAGACAGTCTCAGTTCATCACAGCAGGGAAGTCAGAATGGCAGGAGCTCACATCACATAATCAGAAACAGAGCAAAGCTTACACATTTAAAATTGCATCTATTTGTGTGTGCAGGTCAGAGGAAAACTTGAAGGAGTAAGAGGTTTCTACCATACAGGCCCTAAGGGGTTAAACTCAGGTCACAGGGGACCTCTACTATAGGGAGCTTCCTCTATGCTTACACAACTGAGGGGAAACAACCCCCCCCCATCTAGGGAATGGTCCCACCTACAGTGGGTGTGTTTTCCCATCTCATCCTAATGAAGGCACTCCTAAAACATGCTCATAGGCCAACCTGATCTAGACAATTCCTGGAGTCCCTTTTCTGGTGACTCTGGAGCAGCCGTTCTCAACCTGTGGGCTGCATGACCCTTTCACAGGGGTGGTATATCAGATGCCCTGAATATCAGACATTCACATTATGATTCATAACAGTAGCAAAAATACAATTATGAAGTAGCAACAAAAATAATTTTGTGGTTGGGGGTCACCACAACACGAGGAACTTTATGTATTTAAGGGTTGTAGCATTAGGAAGGTTGAGAATCACTGACTTAGAGTGTGCCAAATTGACAATATCATCCTAATCTTTCCAACTAGTTTAAAAGTTCCTTGAGAATATGTATAGTTTATTCTTCACTGTCTTCTGATTCCCTCCATAATAGCATGCAATCTTAGATACTCAAAAACACAAGTGCCAGTTTAGGGCAAAATCCTCTCAGATTAGAAGTGACCTCAGAACATGTTTTAACTATTTTATAATAATTGGTCATCTGAAAACCAGTTACAATCACTTAGTTGGGAAACAAGCAGTGGTGGTCCAGTCTAACAGTCAAATGAGTGGCCTTACTTTTTCCATAGAAATGACTAGCTGACTCAAAATGTTCAGAGTCAGTAATTTGAAACTAAGACCAGGCAATACATATTAAGTTATTTTTTAGGATAGTAATTTTTTAAAAAGCTTATTTCTAGCCAGGCAGTGATGGTGCCTGCCTTTAATCCCAGCACTGGGGTAGCAGAAGCAGGTGGTTCTCCATGGGTTCAAGATTAGTCTGCTCTAGAGTTCCAGACCAGCTAGGGCTACACAAATAAACCCTGTCCCAAAAAAACAAAACTATTTCTAAATTTTAAAAACACCATCCTCATTTGATGTGAGAGAAACAACGATCAAACTAAATGAGATTCAAGTGGGATGTGTTATAGCACACACTTGTAATCCCAGCACTTGGGAAACTGAGACACAAGAATTGCCACAAGTTCAAAGCTACCCTGGCTACATAACCAGTACCAGGGCAGCCAGAGATACCTGGGAGGGAAGGAGGCTTTGTACAGAAATAAACCCACATTTGACTTACACCCCAATTGTTCTCAGCAGTTTCTGAAAAACGCATCAAATGCAAAAACCTCCCTTTTACATCAAACCACAAGGGAGTGGGTACACAGTACTCCAAAAATTCTTCCTAACACAAATTACTAATAATACTTAACTTTACACTAAAATATTAAAACTAATCGTGAAAAGTGAACCCAAAATGGAGTGAAGACGAATATTTTATACTAGAAAATTGTACTAATAAGACTTCAAAAATACAACACGACCGAAAGCTTAACAACCTGCTTTTCCAAGTCTTGGGGAAAACCAATGGAAACGAGATAACCTCAGATACATAACATAGTTATCACTTTGCTGAATAGACTCAGCACCACGCCTGAAATACAATAAGAAGTCAACTCGGGAGATTACTAACACTACTTGTAGCCACAAAAATACTGCCAAGAAACTTTTTTCGAAGAAGGAAAGACACAAGATTTGACTCTCTTCCCGTTTGTGTTGCTCATTCCAGAAATAAATGGCACCATGCCAACCAAGTACGTTACACCGAAAAGGATTTCAGACTCTCAATTTGAGTCAGCATATACATGATAAATTAAAATGACACTGGATTTCCAATCCCAAAGGTCTTCATGTAGTATGACTCACCAAATCCTCCATTTATTCTAACTATGAAAACTTTATACTCTCCCATGAAACAACCACTATGACCTTCGTAGAAATTGGGTTAGCTATTTTGTTTGTAATCGTTAGGAAAATGCACACTTGAAACAGGGCTCCGGGGAAACCGACAAGCCGACCTGAACGCGACGTGACCTTTCCACAGAAGCTGGGGTCTGGCCTAAAAGCGTGTGGTGGAACCCTGTAGGCGGCTCCGGCTCATTGAAGCAAGCCAGGGTGCAAGCGCAAGGCCTTTTCTCCACCTCGCCGCAGGTCCGGGTCCCGTTTTTGGGCCCAAAGCAGAACCAGTCCCCGTGTTCCCGGCTGCCCTGATTTTCAGCGTCGGGCCGGGCCGGCTCGAAAGCCCGGAGTCCGGCGCGCGGCGCCATCTTAGGCCGCGGCGGCGGCGCCATCCAATCAGCGCGCAGGAGGCGGGGGGCGCAGGGTCGCCCGCGAGTCGCCGCGGGCAGCGCCGGGCGCCGGTGTGCGAGGTTCGAGGGGCCTGGCCTCAGTGCCGCCATGTTGCACCGTCCCCGCGGCCTCCTGATCGGGGAACCCGGGCAGCGGCCGCACCTGGGGCCTAGAGTAGCTCACCTTCTCGCAGAGGCTCTTGACCTGGGACTCGGAGAGCTGCTTGCACTCGTTCAGCTGCTCGATCCACTGGTCCAGCTCCTTGGTGAATAACTTCTCGTCCATGATGACGCCCGCCCGAACCGGCTGCCGCTCCGCGCTGCTCCCGCGCCGCCGCCCGCACCCGGGCCACACGCACACGCCGCCGCCGCTCCCCGGGGTGCTTTCTGCGGCCCCTGGCGGCTGCTAGGCGCTGGCGCCGGCCCGCTGGCTCGCTCCGCAGTACTGGGCCGCCGGCCGCTGTGCCTCCTCCTCCGCTCGCCCTAGCTCGGGACTCGGCTTTCTGTAATGGCGGCCGCCCGGCGTGGTGACGTCACGCCGGCGTCAGGGGGCCGCGGGGAGGGCGTCGGAGCCGGGCCCGGACCCAGAGCGGCGCACCGTGGGGCCCCTGCGCAGGCGCAGAGGAGCTGGACGCCGGAGGAAGTGCCTCCGATTTCGGGGCGTGGTCCTTCTCCGGGGAGGGCGGCGGGGGAAGGGAAGAACGGAGTTGGAGCAAGCGCAGTGCTCGAAGCGCCGAGCCAGGTTAATCCTGGAGCTCCAGGCTCTGAAAGACGCCTGTGCGATCTCGGCGCATGAGCAGTCCGGCTAGGCAAGGGCTGGCTATCTGTGATCTGGTCCCTCTGGAAGGCCGCCAGGTAACACCTCTCAGATGAGTTCTTGGCGTAGCAGCCTGATCAGTGAAACAACAGTCACAACCCTAAGGCGCGTAGTCCAGCAGCCGTGGAAACCCACGTCTTTGAGGACAAGAACTGATGCCTAATGGCCGACTGCCTGGAGTGACCTTCCCCACCCCAGGGCGTTGCAGGCTGCTGTAATTAGGTCATTCGTAGGCGGAGGAAGGTGTACCTGCTTGGGGTATGTCACTCGCTCACCTGACATCCCCAGCAGACACCTGTCCTGGTGCGATGGCAGGGCCCTCGATCGTGGCCTTGTCCTGAGCCTAGCTTCCTCTCCTGTAGCCTTCCGCAGCTATGGTGTGCACTTTTCTCCAAGTCCTGTGCTCACTGGAAATGAGCCTGGCTTACTTTCTAGAGGACACATCGGTCCTGCTGTGTTCTGGTGCTGGTAGAAACAGAGACAGTAAAGGAAGCTGATACTCGTAAGGATCGGCCCTTGACCTGGTTATTGAATCCCTTTAGGGCTTGCGAAATGTTTTCACATTGCACTGTCCCTGCATTTACAGAGATACTTGGCTCCACAGAACGCCAACTATTTACCAGATCCCATGCCTAGAGGATAGAGGGGTCATGCGGACAAACAAGGGCGACTTGCCCTAGTGAAGCTTTAATTTTCCCTATGGTAGAAACTAATGGAAGGTATGGATGTTGCACACTGCTCTCCGCAGAATTTGAGAGGTAGTGAAAACCAAAGAATAGTTAACCATGACGGGCAAGGCAAGAGCTGGTCTTTTAAGCTCTACTGTGGGAAGCAACCACGTCTGGCACATGCTGGGCAAGACGCATTTACCAGACTCACAAGCTAAGAGAGGGCCTCAGTGGCCCCATCCACAAATGGCAGGGCTTAAAATCCTCCTTTAACAAGGACAACCTGCTTGGCGAGGCAGACCGGCTTGACCAATTCTGCTTTCCCTGGGTACCTCCCTCTAGTGTGCCAGAAGAAAGTACCTAAGATGTACTCTTCTAGAAGCCTCCTTACATACTTGTTCTGCCAGAGTGGGGTTAAGGTAATTTCAGATCAAATTCTGACTCTAGTTTGCAGTGAACAACCCCAAATAACAGACAGAGTATAAGGGTTAAGACTGTGTGAGATGAATAAAGAAATGATTGTTGGGTTCCCGTAGTTATAAAGCCATGTTCACTGTGTTGTCTTGTGGACCCGTGTGAGAACTGGTCCAGTCTTAAAGAGTAGGAAGCAGACGGAAACACACAAAACAGAAGGGATTTCTCCAAGGTAATGGTCAGGCCTAAGAACTTCATATTGCCAAGGTCTCAGCTACAGTCGTACAGGTCCTGAAACACAGAAGAGGATCAGCATTTGTCCTTTGCCTGCATTTTTTCACCTGTACAGACAGTGATGATGTTAGTTGGCAGACTGAAAAGTAATCAACACCCACTCTGTATGTGAAGGTTATATAATGAGGGTTCTTCCAAAGTACTAGCTAGGCACTCCTTGCTGGTAGCATTAATGTGTTATTTATTTCCTCTTGATGCAGGTTACTTGGCTCACCACCCTCACAAAATGGAGGGAAGATATAATTATATGTACTTAAAACATCCTGCCAAATAATTAGATGCTGTGACTTAACTTCTTGAGGAATGACTTCTAGGAAGCTCTCATTAGCATTCAGGCAGTGGAATAAGGCAGATCAGATCATAAACAATACAGAACTATGCTAATCAGGGTACCTTTTTTTTCCCAGCAGAAACCAAGAATGCTTCCATACTCTGTAGAGCCTCAAAATAATCAAAGGATCTGAAAGTTGGGTTTGGTTAATCTGGTCCCAACTAATTTGACCCAAATGACTCAATTTGAGAGCTGATGGATACTTGGAATAAAAATTTAAAAACAGCTAGGAGTGTTATCTCATGTCTGTAATATCAGCACTGAAGATGATGAGGAAGGAGGATTTCCTCCATTTCAAGGACAGCCTGGGCTACACAATGAGTCCAAGGTAAGTGGGGTTGCAGTGTAAGACCCTGTCTTGAAAGCCAAAAGATAATTTAAAAGAGGAAGAATTAAGCCGGGCGCACTCGGGAGGTAGAGGCTGAGGCAGATGGATCTTTGAGTTTGAGACCAGCCTGGTCTACAAGAGCTAGATCCAGGACAGCTTCCAAAGCCACAGAGAAACCCTGTCTCAAAAAAAAAAAAAAAAAAAAGAGTATCCTTTTAACCTCTGGACAAAACAAAAACAAACAAATACAAATAAAACATTTAAGATAACTCTGAGAATCATGGTTTAGATGACAAATCCAGGGTATTGTGAGTCTTCGTTGCCGTTGCCCAGGATGTTTAAACACAGCTATAAATAAAAGTCATCTGATGATGGGGGCGGGGTAGGAGGCAGATAACCTTGAGCAAATAGCTTTATAATAGGCACCCTTAGCCAAAATACTGAATTGACATTAAACATGGAGAAAGAATAAGTTGTATTTTGCCAGTGTTCTCTCCAACTACAATTTATTTTGTTGGTGGTCCTTCCCCAATTTAACCCAACTGACATGGAAAGGAGAGGAGTGTGAGGAACAGCTCTAGGGTCAATGGGACTGGGTTCAAATTCCTGTTTTACTGATGCCAAGCCAGGGAGGGCGCCCCTCCCTCCCCTTGTCTCTCCCTTCCCTCTTTCGGCCTTTTCTTTTTTTCTTACTTTCTTTTAACAGGATCCCACTGTGTAGATCGGTCTGGCCTAGCAGTCATAGAGCTCTGCCTGCTTCTGCCTCTGAGGGCTGGGATTAGAGGCACAGTCACTACACCCAGTGTCAGTTAGATAGTCCAAGTCCTGCTTTCCTTATTTATAGAGTAAGATAACTGTAAATAAAGTTTATTCTGGCGGTTAAATGAGATCATAAAGGTATAGCAAAGAGCAGCATAGAATACATAGCCGATAAATGTTTCATATCATTTTTATTGTAAATACGATTTTAAATATGCCCATTGCCCATTAGAGTCCCCCAGGTATATCAAAAACACCATGTGTAATAAAATCATAGCAGAAGGGGAAAGGGGTGAGGAAATTCAAGCAAGGAAAGAACTAGAACAAAAGAGCACTCCCTCTCTTCCCTTGTCATCAGAGACCGTTGTATAGAGACAGTTACTTAGGAATAAATCCAGTAATTAATATTTTGTCAAGCTCATGCCCCACTTAGCTCCAAATCCTGTGTCTAAAGAGAGCACCAGACCTAAAAAGGAGAACATGTTCTTTGTGCCTGTGTCTCCAATGTCTCAGAAGCCCCAGTCAACAACTTACTGGCCCTGTTCAGGAGAGAAGGCCTGTGATGCTCGGCAGCCTGGGCCTGCCTACCCACCAGCTTTCTGGACTCCACATTCCCAAGGCTATGGGCAATATCCTTTGTGCAGTCTTCAGGAAAAGAAAATATGCCTTTTCACCTAGACTGAGCTTTATAGTTGTGGCCAAAGTTTGTGGCTGGGAACTTTGTCACAGATACACTACTGACCTTCCTCCTAACTCCTGTCACTTGATTAAAGACAGAAAAAGGATCATGTCCCTGCCTGATGCCCATGACGTCCAGGCAGGTCTCAGTTACAGAGGGAAACAGCACAGGAAAAGAAAGGCAAAGTTCACCATCCAGAAGGCAGGACAAGCCTCACGAACACTGCCACCAGCCCTGCAGTTCCCAGGAGTTCTGTCATAAGTCTATTTATTGACACAGGAGACTGTTTACAGTCTAATATAAAACAAGAGGCATACCTAGGTGTAGTGGGACACACCTGTATGTACCAAACATTCAGCAGGCTAAGGCAACAGGATTGTGAGCTTGAGGCCAACCTGGACCGTAAGTGAGACCCTGGATCAAAGCAAACAAAAAACAACAGCCATTTATATGATAGAGTTTTATGAAGCATCTTGTTTGTTTGTTTGGTTGGTTTTTAGAGACAAGGGTTCTCTGTGTAACAGCCCTGGTTGCTCTGGAACTCACTCTGTAGACCAAGCTGACCTCGAACTCACAGAAATCCTTCTGCCTCTGACTCCCAAGTGCTGGGATTAAAGACCCGGCTATGAAGCATCTTTTACAAATACATGCTTCTAAGAAACACCAGCAAGCTACACAGGAGGTGGTAATAGTTGAGTGGGATTTTTTTTTGTCTCTGCTTACTTGATTCTTCTGTAATGAAAACATATTACCTCTTACCTCTATGACAATGAAAAGAAAACATCCAGGATATCTTAATAGATAAACCATATCTTCAGAGCGTCAGGGATTCAAAGAACTCATAGGTAGGGGCCAGAGAGATGGCTCAGGGGGTTAAGGCACTTGCCACTAAGCCTGAGAACCTGAATTTGATCCGGGCAGGGATCCACAATGGTGAAAGGAGAGCACTGATTTCCTGAGGTTTGTCCTCTGAGCCCAAATGTGCTGCGGCATGTGCAAATGCACACATAGACAAAGAGCAAAATTTAAAGGAAGAAATAAAACCTCATAGCCAGGAGGTCAGCTAGGAAGCAAATGAGAAGGCCACAGCAAAGCTGGGGTTCCTTTCCATAAGGAGGGGGGCCATACGCAATGACATCCTCAGGCACATTTGCTTCCTAACCTCCAACTTGTTGTCTGTGGTGCCTTTAATCCCAGCTCTTGGGAGGTAGAGACAGGCCAATCTAAGTGAGTTTAAGGACAGCCGGCTCTACAAAGTGAGTTCCAAGACAGCATAGCTATATAGAGAAACATAGTCTTGAAAAACCAAAAAGTAGCCGGGCGGTGGTGGCGCACGCCTTTAATCCCAGCACTCGGGAGGCAGAGGCAGGCGGATCTCTGTGAGTTCGAGGCCAGCCTGGTCTACAAGAGCTAGTTCCAGGACAGTTCTCCAAAGAGCTAGTTCTCCAAAGCCACAGAGAAACCCTGTCTCGAAAAACCAAAAAAAAGAAAAAAAAAGAAAAAGAAAACCCAAAAAGTGAGGAGAGAGAGAGGGATAGAGGGAGGGTGAGAAGGAGGGAAGGAGGGAAAGAAGGAGGGAAGGAGGTCGGAAGAGAGAGGATTCCAACCAATCTTTTCTCCTGCCTTCCCTGAAGGCTCTGTCCTAGGTGCTTGGGCTTCTTACCCCTCCTCCTCCCTGCCCCCACTGCCCAAGCTGTTCTTGCCCACCCTGCTCCTACTCTCAGCCTTTGCTTTTGGATGCTCCCTTGTGTCTATATGAGCCCTACCTGTCCACAGTTGGTTTGAACTTCCCTTATGACTTTAGGTCTCTCGTCCCCATCTTTTATGTTTGTTTGTTTTCCTGTCTCTGTCTGTCTCTGCCTGTGTCTCTGTGTCTCTGTCTGTCTCTGTCTCTCTGTGTCTCTGTCTGTCTCTCTGTCTCTGTCTCTCTCTGTGTCTCTGTCTGTCTCTGTCTCTCTCTCTCCTCTTTGCATGCAAGACATCACACCCAGTGCCTCTCCCATGCTAGGCAAAGGCTCTGTCACTCACAGGTCCATATAGCTCTCCTGTCTCCTTTCTCAGGGACATTTGTTCTCTAAGTTGACAGGGGAACCAGCAGGCAAGATAGCCCCTTGATTATTATGTATTTGTTTTTAAAATTTAAGTCAAATTGTGTGTGTGAGTGAGTGACAGAGCCACTTAGAGGAGTTGGTTCTCACATTCCACCATGTGGGTCCCTGGGGTGGAATTCCAGTCATCAGGCTCAATGGCCAAGTGGCTTTACCCACTGAGTCACCAACCTGGTCTTTCTGTTTTCATTACTAAATTCTGATTCTGGGGGATGACAGTGGAATTGAGTCCTAAAACTAAAGAAGGAACAGATAATGTGTGCAGAAAAAAAGTGATGGTTGACTTGGTGTCTACAAGCTGATGGTCAGTTCTCAGATGGAAGCATGCTAATTATTTACCTCATCTTTGGGGGAACAGACAAACGGCAATGAGCCTCTGTCAATCACTAACACTAAGAAGAGACAGCATTTGGTTTCTGGTTTTGTTTAGTTTTTTTTTTTTTTTTTTTTGAGACAGGGTTTCTCTGTGTACCTCGGCTGTCCTAGAACTCACTATAAAGACCAGGGTAGCCTCGAACTTAGAGATCCACCTACCTCTGCCTCCCAAGTGCTAGAATTAATAATGTGCACCACCATGTCTGACAAGAGCCAGCATTTGTTAATCATTGCTGCTCATCTCTGAGCTAAAACTTCTAAGTCACCTTGCTTGCAAATGAGACCATCTCTGAATATAAGCAGCCTGGGAAGGAATGAAAAGAGAAAGATTAGCAAATTGTTAAAATGAATTGCCAAAAGCAAAATAAAATAAAATATGAGTTGTCTTTGCTTGACACTGCTGTTTCCCAGGATAGGGTAATTGCTCTGAAGTGTTGATCTGCCTTGCCTTTAAACAAGTAAACAACCTATCAGGGACAGCACTCTCTTACTCAGGTGAATCGGCTCTCCTATAAGGAAAAAAAAAAAAAAAAAGCTGTTGTCATCTCCCTCCTGCCACCATCAATCTGAATGTCTTCACACTTCACACTAACACTGTGGAGACTGTATACATTTAAATTCTCAGTTCTGCTGAGAGAAAACCCTGTCTCGGAAAAGAAACAAACACAAACAAAAAAATTCTCAGTCCTTAATTCATGGATAAATGTAGACATAGTCTCTCAACCCTCAGGGGATGTTTGGTAATTTAATTTTCTTTTCCTTTATTTCTTATTTTCTTTTTTTCCTTGGGATCTCACATAGCTCAAACTGGCCTTGAACTCATTATGTAGCCAAGGAAGAATTTGAACTCCTGATCCTTCTGCCTTCACCTCCCAAGAGCTGGGATTACAGGCATGCAACACTATACCTGGTTTAATTTTGTTGTTGTTGGTTTTTTATCTGTTTTGTTTTGGTTTTGGCTTTTCAAGACAGGGTTTCATTGTGTAGCCCTGACTGTCCTGAAACATACTCTGTAGAACAGGCTGGCCTTGAACTCACAGAGATCCATCTGTCTCTGCCTTCTGAATGCTGGGATTAAAAACATGCACCATGACTACCTAGCTTGTTGTTGTTTAATAGACATTTTTATTGAGAGATTTTAATGAATTATTTATTGTTTATTTCATATGAATTTGTGTTTTGTCTGCATGTATGTCTGTGTGAGAGAATCGGATTCCCTGAAACTGGAGTTGTGAGCTGCCATGTGGGTGCTGGGAATTGAACCTGGGTCCTCTGGAAATGCAGCCAGTAATCTTAACCATTGAACCATTTCTCCAGCCTTGAGAAATTTTAGATCTATTTGCAGTAGTAGAAAACTAGTAGGAAGAGATCACCATTTTCCAGCACCAACATCTTTCAGTGTTATAATACAATGCTACAACTTGGATGCTGTCATTGACTCAGCCAGCATGCGTGACTCACATTTCCCCAGTTTTACATACACATTTGTGTGTTAGTCTGTATATAGTGTTCTACAAGCTGGCATCTTCTTTTGCATGTACCTTTTTTTTTCTTTCCATAAAAAGGACCTTAACCTTCACAGTTATAATTCTCTCAAGAGCCTGATTTCCAAAAAAATAATTTGGTTCCTAGTTCCGGGGATTCCAGAAGACTAAGATCCCCAAATCTCTACAGCTCTCAGGTCCAATAATAAGCCTGAACAATTTTGAGACAATGCCCGACTACTCTGTTGCCCAGAGTAGCCTCAGACTTGCTCTATAGCTCAGGCTGGACCCAAACCTGTAATTCCTCTCTTTCAGCCTCCTGAATCCTGGGACTACAGATGTATGCCACCATGACAGGCATAGGAATATAGTGGGTAAAAGGTGATAGGAAGATAGGGGAAAGGAAGGAAAAGTCAAAGGCATAATATATAGCCTGTCGTGGTTTGAATTCAAAATGTCCCTCCCAGGCTCTTGTCTGAAGTGCTTCTTTCCTGACTGGGTGTGGGTCCCGCTGGTAGAAGTAACTTACTAGAGAAAGGCCTTGAAGATTCTAACCCAGACTCTTCTTCCAACCTTCTCTGCTTCCTAGCCCACCACTGTGGTGGTCTAAATGAGCCCCCGTAGGCTCATGAGTTTGAACACTTGGTCCCCAGTTGGTGTCACTGGGACAGGGACAACCCAGCCTTAGGAGCCCATGTGATGTCACCATATGGCCATGAAGCCATAGCACTTGCTTGCTGGCACACTTTGGGTCTTGATTTGCTGCAGCACGGTGCTGCATTCCTATTCTTCCCTCTGGGGCTTGGGATGTCACTCTGTGGCACCGCATGTTGGAAGTACTTACTTTTGTATTCTACGAGGTCTCATATGTGAGAGACTGCCTTGAGTCTCAGAAGAACATTTGGATTTCTGAAAAGTGGTGAGTGGGACTGTTACACTATGTGAAATATTCAGGTTGAACTAAGTGCACTTTGTATTATGAGATGGCCACGATCCTTTGAGGGACCATGGCAAGACATTATGAATTAAGTCTGAGATGTGCCACACGGGCTCTTGAGATTGTTGTTGTTTCCCAGCGTGTTGGAATTATAGGCATGAACCACCATGCCCAGCTAAATTCCAGTGCTTGTTCCCTAGCTCTTGGCACTATTCTGGGAGACTTTAGGACCCTTAGGAGGCGGGCCAGGCTAGTATAGCTCACAAGGGGCAGGCTTAAGGCAGTAATAGACCAGACCCTGGTTCTAGCTGCTCCTGACCGGTCATATCCTTCCCTACCATAAGAGATGTAACCCTCTGAAAACATGAGTCCAAATAAATCTTTCCTCCCTTAGATTGCTTCTATCGGGTATTTTATCATAGTACTAAGACATGGAATATTACACAGTCCACTGAGCTTAGGGTCCAGAGGGAGGCAGGCTGTCCAACAGCTAAACAGATCACTTATTAATTATGCACCCAAGAGATAGGACATTGCTTTGGTGATACTGGGAAAGTCTTTTGACAGAAGCTGATGCTTGAGCTCCATTTTGAAAGATATCCTGGGATTCTTTAGATGAGAAGAGAGCTGTTAAAAACCATTCCCTCGATGGGCTGGACGGTGGTGGTACACGCCTTTAATCCCAGCACTCAGGAGGCAGAGGCAGGCAGATCTCTGTGAGTTTGAGACCAGCTCTGGTCTATAAGAGCTAGTTCCAGGACAGCCTCCAAAGCCACAGAGAAACCCTGTCTTGAAAAACCAAAAAAAAAACCCAAAACAAAACAAAAAATACAACAACAATAAAAAACATTCCCTCTTAAATCATATCTAGTCTATTCTCAGTGCTTGGAGAGAACACAGGAAACCATGTCTACCTTTGTTTACAATGTTAAGGTGTCAAATTCTTCAACCCCTGTATGCAAGTGCTAAGGCCAAGAGATTTTTTTCCCCCTTGAGTCTGTTTTCCACTATCTTGTCCAAATTGGACACCAGATCCTGCCCGCTGAGTTTGGTAAAGGCATTTTATCTCTGGAGCTTTGATCACATCAGAGCTTATATTTAAAGCATGAGAGATGAGAAGAGACCGCAGCTATGCCCTTGGCTTTGCCTCACAGCTGCGCTACCCCCCTCCTCTCTACTGAAGACTCTGGAAGCCAATCCTTCAACACTTGGTGAGAGTCAGAGCTGGTCCAGCCATGAATAAAGCATCTTAGCCCTCCAACTCCGGAGTTCTCCTTTTCATCAAGGGCTCATCAGAAACCACCATAGGCACGGGGTTTGCTCTTCCTGTGTTTGTTGGTTAGCTATCTTGTGCGTACTCTGGCTGTGACACCCAGGGATTTCTGTGAAGGCTTCAGGTTTCCCCATAAGGCTGCTCAGTTCTCAGCTCTGTTCTCACAGAAACCACACACTCTGCTGCAGCCATTTCTGGGTGTGGGAGACTGACTCCTAGCAGACCCATACTTAGAACAGCCTTTGGTAGCCATGTTCAAGGCACTGTTTTTTGTTTTTGTTTTTGTAAGATCTCTGTGTTCTGCAGGTTATTTAAGTCCCAAACCTCAGTATTTCCTCTGGAGCACCATCCTCATAGGGTTAGTTTACTCTTTAAATAAATGGCCTGGCTTGGTGTGGTGCATTCCTTTAATTCCAGCACTTGGGAGACAGAGGCAGGTAGATCTCTGTGAGTTTGAGGCCAGCCTGTCTACATAATGAGTCCCAAGACAGCCGAAGTTACATAGTGTGACCTTGTCCCAAATAAACAAACAGTCTAAGCCTACCAGAAGGGTCACTTTTAACCACTGTTAAAAGCATGCACTAATTTTTCAGAAGACCCACATTTGATTTCTAACACCGATATCAGGCAGCTCACAATTGCCTGTAACTCCAGCTCCTAGAGATCTGAACACTGAGGGCACTTGCACAGAAACACATATACACATAAGAAAAAATAAAAATAAAAAAGGTCCATATGAAGCGCTTAGCCTGTAGCCTATACTCCATCTATATGAGCTCTTATTAACATTATTAACATTATTTTGAGACAGAGACTCAGAAAAAAAAAACATACACTCATACACATTCATACCATACAGCTGTGTCTTTCTGCATATTTGTTTTTGTTTGTTTTAAAGTGGGGTCGTTCTATATAGACCAGGTTGGCCTGAAACTTGTAACTGTCCCATCTCAGTCTCTCAAAAGCTGGAATGACAGTATGTACCACTGTGTTCATTTTCCCAGCTTGTGTGTATGTGCTTGTGTGTGTCTATATACTTAGAGGAAATTGAAAGCTGAGTTCATATTATATCACCTGCTTTATTCATTTAATGGATCACAAGCACTGCCTCATATATTTAGTTATTATGTGACAATCATATTTTCAGCTACTGTCTGTTTTCTAACATTGATATTCATACAATTAATTCATAATGAATTATCTTGGCCTTTACATTGTTTCTTATTTTCATTTCAGTATACCGTGCTGTGGTAAATGTCCTTGTTCCTAAGTTTGTGCCTCTGGATCTCTCTCTTCAAGACAGACGCTTACGAGTGTTGTATCTCTACTCTGCTGTTGCTTCACTAATATTAGGTATGCAGAATTGCACCGTAATTCCTGGCTCCTGACACATTCTCATAGTTGGCAAGTGGATGGTCAGATCTTACTGACTAAGGTAATACATTTATTAATTTAATAATGTAATCAGAAACAAATATCTAGCCATAGTCTGTCATCTCCCTCTCCTTCCTATACAAGGGCACCATCTTGATCTATGTTCAGTCCCTTACTTTTCTTGTTAAGTTGTTTCATTGTTTCTATATATATTCCTGAAGAGTAATTTTAAAAAATTATGCTTAGCTTTATAAATAGGGTATCATGTTGTAAGTAATTGTTTAGGACTTTTTCTGTGTTTACTGTGAACTGACTAATGTCCAACCATATTACTACTGCACAATGCTGTGGGTTACTCACGTTGATGGATACAGAGGTATCCAAAGCATACATCTACCATGGTTCGTCATCCTCTCGCTCTCCCATGGATGACAAACACCATCTCCACGGATGTGATCTTCCACACAGCACATCTGTGGTGTCATCCACATCCCCACACTCGCACCAGCCACAAACTTGAGACCCCGTGGATACTCATTCTCTGGTGTTCATGCTTCTAGAGCCTGAGAGTCACGTTGTCAGGCCACTCTCCAGAGGGAGGGAGCAGTTTCTCCTCCTCCAGGGACAGAGTGTGCACCTTCCCACACTCTTCCTAATGACAGGATCATTTAAGCCATTTTGACCATTTCACAGACAAAAGGTGACTTCTCCTGGCTCTGTGGCCAGGTACTGATTCCTCTTGAAGCTGAGAACAGGTTTTTGGTTCTGAGAATTGTCCCCAGTCTGATGACATCAGTAATTTCTGGAAACCATTTCCCAATGGCTCAGCTGCTTTCCCATGTGCTGAAAGAAGTGACACTGTTGGAAGGAGGCTGTGAGGGGAGCCAGGGTGGGAAATGTGCCCAGCTTACCACAGTGGAAGATTGTCTCCTGGTCCCAGCCCCTGCCAGTGTCAGATCACGACTAATGAAACAGGCATTCTCTCTCCCTACTCACTATCCTAGGAAAGCCAGCATAATGCTACCCTTTGTTCTTGAATTGATAAATTTAAACCTCCTGCTTTGCTCTGCAGTAAAAGAACTTACTATTTTCGGCTTGGTGACATAGCCAAAATCCAGCAAGAGCAGCAGGCTGCAGCATGAGTTAATAGCTTTCTTTAGGGGAGACAGGATCCACAAGCAAAGGGAGAACCTTCCAAAGCGTGTCTTCTGCATAGCAACACGCAGCCCGTTTGTCCATCTTTCTGCTGACAGATGTATTTTGAGACTGAAAACTAAAGACTACTTAACATTCAGAGTAAACTGGGGGATTAACCCTCAACTGACAGCTACCCCTCCTGCTTCTTGAAAGTATCTCCTATAACCAAGACTGGCCTTGAATTCCTGATCCTCCTGCCTCTATCACTCCAGCTCTGAGATTTACAGGCATGAGCCACCATGCTCAGTTTGGATTTCTTAGTCAAATGCAAGAATTTGCTGATGCCCCGTGTCCCTAGAACTCAAAAGGCACTGTCAAAGAAGGCAGTTCTATCCTTATGAGATTCCTAGCCACCAAAAAAAAAAAAAAAAAGATACTAACTTGAGGAGTGTCGGAGCACTACCCAAGAATAGGGTTTTTTTTTTTCCTTCTAGTCTGCTTCTCTGTGAGGAACCAGCCATACTTGGGTAGGGACTCCAGAAGATCCAGGCTCCCAGAAAGGGCATGCTCACATCTATCCAGACTTGGTACCAGTTAGTACAAACCCAGGTCTGGAGAGACTGGGCAGCGGAGAGTGAGTCCTCTCACTCTCTCTTGTTACCATTTCTCTTATGAGATGTTTCAAGTGTGTCCAGAAGTACAGATGATAATGAGATTGACTCTGTTAAGCTACTGTCTGGTTTCAGCAACTATCAACATGTCAGTCTTATTCCATCCATACCCACCCCCCCACACCCATTTTAAAGCAAATTAGAGTCCTTTTTATCTTTATATACTTTATATGTACCTGGAGGAAACAGACTTTTTCAACAATTACTGTATGGGGGTTGAAAAAACAATGATGTATTAGTGTCATCTAGGGTCAGAGGTCAAACTGACCTGGTGTTCCTTGTTCTTCACTGACTTCCTGAAATGACAGGGATCTGACTCAGAGCAAAGCAATGCCATTTGAGCAGCTGGAGTAGGATAAGCCTGTAACTGCAGCATTTCAGAGGTAGACGCAGGAGATGAGGAGTTCAAGGCCATCCTCTGTTATATACAAGTCCCAGACCAGATTGGGCTACTTGAGACGTTGTCTCAAACAAATACATGTAAAACAAAAACTAAAATAAAAAAACAGGCCCACAATATGGCTTAGCTTGTGGACACTTGCTGCCAAGCCCAGGAACTCACATGATGGAAGGAGAGACCGCTGACCTCCACAGCTCAACGCTAACTAACTAACTAACTAACTAACTAACTAAAGGTAAAACATAATACTACTGCTTGCATTTGTTGGTGTCACTCATTGCCAAGGCCAAGCAGGGAGCAGGATTCTAGCCTTTGTTCATAGTTTCAGTTCCATTTAGTTAATAATTTTTAAAATTTTGATTTGTAACAGCATCCTCTACCCTTGCCTTTCCTATTTGTAATTTTTTTTGTTTTTTCCTTTTTGAAATTGTCTTACTCTGTAGCCCAATCTGGCCTCAAACTTACTAATAAACTTCTTGCCTCAGCCTCCTGAGCCTGGGATCACAGGTATGAGTCACCCTTCTTGGCTAGTTGCTCTTTCTTTCTTTCTTTCTTTCTTTCCTTCTTTCTTTCTTTTTTTTTTTTTGGAAACAGGGTTTCTCTGTATTGTTTTGGAGGCTGTCCTGGAACAGGCTGTCCTGGAACTCACAGAGATCCGACTGCCTCTGCCTCCCCAGTGCTGGGATTAAGGGTGTGCGCCACCAATGCCCGGCTACTTGCTCTTTCATATTGTCCACTTTCTGGTAGGATGGAAGACAACAGGTCTTCTACTTGCTGTGGCTATTTAACAGACTACTCCAGTCTAGTGGTATAAAATAACCACAAGTTTATCACACACTCTGGAGTCTATGGACAGGAATTCAAAGATGGCACTGGGGAGATGACTTCTCTCTGTTCCATACTTATTTGGGGCCTCCTCTGGGAGTCTACAACGTTACACCTGAGGTCTAGCAGCACCTGAAGGCTTGGTGACCCCCAAACAAGGGCTGTGGCCCGAACCCTGACACAGCTACTCTCTGTTTTCTGACAGCAGGATGGATTTGAGAGAGTCAGACTTTTTTGCTTTGTTTTGTTATGTTTTATGGGGATCAAAGTATTCCAGCCAACAAGCCAGAGGCTGTATCATTCTTTACAACCTCATTTCAGAGCTTAGTGCCAGTCTTGCTTCCTGTTGTGCTCTAGTAGATAAAAGTCAGGAACGATCTCAAGTGGGATGGGTCAGACTCTACCTTTAGAGTGGCAAGACCCCAGCAGAGCTTGGGGGATGACCCAGCGGGAGGTCAAGATGGCCAGTTGAGGTTGCCTCTCTTGCACCAACCAGGAATGATGTTGTAAACGGCAGAACCCTGGTGGAGGAGAGAAGAGGAAGTCAGGCACATCCCATAGTTGTGCACACTGCATCCTAGACACGTAAGGGGCTGACTGAGCTGAAACTCGGTTCCAACTGTGCCCACATCTCCAGGAGGAATAAGGGTATTCCCCACTTCATGTAAGACAGTACAGCATGGCAGGCTCCTAATAGTCTGCAGCCATTAGACACCACACAACTATTGAACATAAGTTGTTACGGAGCACATTAGGTCTTTTGTGCCTTAAGCTAGACCCACCATAAAACTTGAAGCTGTTGTTATTTAATATTGCTTTAAATTATATGTGTGTGCTTGTGCATTAGTGTGGGTGCCCAGAAACCAGAAGAGACCATCACATCCTTGAGAACTAAAGTTACAGATGTTGTAAGCCATCCAATGTGGATGCTGAGAACTGAACCCAGGTCCTCCACAAGAGCAACAAGTGCTTGTAGCCTCTGAGCCATCTCCCATCCCTCAAATAATGTTTTTAAATGGTATGACCTTTTACTTATAGGTCTTGCACACTTGTTATTGTGGTATTGGTCTAGAATGCTATAGCACTGTCTCAGAAGTTGAGACACCATGTCCTAACATCTAGGGACCCTAACTTGACCCATCTGCTGTCAGGCTTAGCTAGATATAAAATATGGACATCAGATTTTTAGGAAACCAAGCAAACATAATTAAAGATTTTCTTTCCTTTTCCTTATTATCTTTATTTTAGTCCTTATTAGTTGTTAGCATAGCTTTTGCATTTGGTATAAATACAAGAGTAAATACTTACATTCTACTTCTGGGTGTCAGGAAGCTAATATAAAGTAATTTCCTGGGGGCTGAGAGATGGCTTAATGGTTAAGAGAACTGTTTGCTCTGCCAGAGAACCTGGGTCACATGGTAGCCCACAACTGTCTGTAATTTCAGTCGCAGGGGATCTTCTGGCCTCTGCAGGTACCAGGCATGCATGAGGTGCACAGACATACATGCAGACAAAACACCCATATACATAAAATAATTTAGTTTAAAAATATAGATTTCCACACTTAAAGTATGTATTTTTAATTATGTGAATGGGGGGCATGTGTGCATGTGTGAACATAGATCCCTCAGAATCCAGAAAAAGACAAGGTGTCAGATCCCCTGAAGCTAGAGTTACAGGCTGTTGTGAGCAGCCAGCTCAGGTCCTCTGCAAGAGCAGCACATGCTCTTAACCACTGAGCCATCCCTGCAGCCCAATGTCTAAGCATTTTATGGAGCAGAGTAGCATCATACACCCCACACCTGACAAGGACAGTTGAGTTCCAAAACACCCCCACAGGAGCCACATCTAAAACTCTGTCAATGAAGCCTTCAGTAGGGGCACACACCTTTAATCCCAGCGCTCAGGAGGCAGAGGCAAGTGGGTCTCTGAGAATTCAAGGTCAGCCTGGTCTACAGAGAGAGTTCCAGAACAGCTAGTGCTACACAGAGAAACCCTGTAGTGAAAACAACAACAAATTTCTCTCAATGGGATTATCAAAACACTATGATAACACTATAAAGCTGATAAAGATGGAGTAAACACACAGGTGGGGGAAGCCTGGAATGCCATGATCTGGGCACTTGATTTTTATTTTCTTTTGAACTTTAAAGTTTTTCTAACTCATTAAACTTCAGATAGAGGACACTCAACACATTTTTTCAGTTCATAGCACATTATACCCTAGTCAGTCCATGAAAGTCTCCTCTCTTGTGTGTTAGCATGTATGCATATATTAGTATGTGTGTATGCATGCATCTGTGTATTTATGTAGTAGTATGTGCATATGTATGTATCTGTGTATGTATGCACACACACATGTATTTGCCCCATTCCTCTCTGGTCTTCTCTCTCAAGCAATCATTCTCATATACTTGATGTTTCCTGGTTTGTATGTGTTCATGTGTGCTATGGTTTGCATGCATTTTCACTTATATGAACAGTACCGAGTTGCATATCTCATTTTGTCTCCCTTTTCTTCACCCCTCAATATGTTTTCTAGACCTGCCCACATTTCTACCTGCACATCTCATACATTAGCTCAACTGCTGAACAGCCTTCTATAGGATACACCCATGACATTCGTCATCTCTGCTTCCCTAGTCATGGGTACCCAGTGCCTCCAGCTTCTCTCCCCAGACCAATGCTGCCGGGAGCAGCCATCTGAGTGACCCACATCAGACTCACATGGGAATCTCTCTCTTTCTCTCTCTCTCTGTGTGTGTGTGTGTGTGTGTGTTAATTTTTTCTAACTCATCATTGTCATCATGTGTACGTGTGTGTGCCCGCACACATGAGTGGGCATGCGGCTAGGGAAGGAGGAGGTCAAAGAACAGCTTCCAGGAGTTTGCTCTCTTCTTCCACTTGGTTGAGCCAGGGTCCACACTCAGGAGGCTGCAGGTGAAGGCTTTTCCTTATTAGCCCCTTGCTCTAGATCCCCTGAGCTGAGACAAAGGACTTAGGGACAACACTGCCTCATGTTGTAATGAAGATGGTGGAGACACATGTCCCCCTTACTACTGCTTCACTCTCTGTGTGGACACAGGCAACATAGCCACCATATTCACTGAGCAGCTTTGCCAGTGTAGAGCCCTGGTCCTGAGCCACTCATGTTTGCCCCTTGGTGAAAGGCTTGTGACAGAAACAAATAAGGGCAGTTTCCACCGAAGGACACCAAAATAGGCTTGGCTACAGCCAGCTGGTGAGCTTGTAAAATTGGTCCACACTGAGATCCAGCAGTAGTTTCACTGGCTGTACACAGACACATTTAAGTCCTCTTAAAATGTCTGTGTATGGAGGAGATGAAATACCTAGGTATAAAGAAAGCTGCCATTGTTGCTTATTTTATATTTTTATTGATTTAGCTTTTGGAGATAAGATTTTACTCCATAGCCCAGGCTGGCCTGGAACTCAGGATCCCCCTTCTTGGCATATCTAGTGCTAGTATTACAAGTGTGAGTTACCCTTCCTGAGGGGTGCCTGCAGCATAGCTTTGTTTTTCCTTGCAGCAGACCTGCGTTTGGTTCCTAGTGCCCACATTGGGCAGATCACAACAGCCTATGACTCCAGCTCCAGGGGATCAGCTGCTGGACCACACTGGCACCTGCACTCATTCAGAGTCTCTGAGCCAATGTGCTGGACAACTGAACATCAGAGAGGACACCCAATGTCCCTGAAGGTCCCTGAGCTGCTCAGAATGCACGATGAGTGTCCATCTAGCCCTGCAGTCCCCTCCCCTTGGGTCAAGCCCTTGTGTGAGAAAGTTTTGTGTGGTTGCCTTGTCAACAGCCCGGGACTCCTAGCTCCACATACCAGGCTTCTGAGGTCTTGATTAGTCAGCTCCTCTACTTCCTTACTACCAGCATAGCTCAGTTTCAGCCTGGAACCAGGAAGGGCTGCTGACAGTATCATACACTCCCACAGTGATTCATTCGGTTGTTTCAACAGCTTGCTTGAAAGAAAAGTTACCCCCCCCAAAAAAAAGAAAACCTATTTGGAAGTCCAAACTAGAAATCATGATTCTCAAAATCTGCATTCTAGTAACCAGTCACTTGATTCCCCACAGCCTCTAAGAAAGCCATGGCTGCGGTTGGCTGTGGTACTGCACTGTGGAGGGCACCTGGCATGACCTCAGGTACAGTCCCTGTACACATAAGGACTTTGGATCATATTTAAGATAGTGCGATGACATTAGCTATAGTATTTTCTACGTCTTTATGATAAAAGAGAACAAAGAACTGTAGGAATAACAGGATCACCTAGCTCTCCTTTTTCTTCCACCCAAAGTCAGATTATCCCAGCCCTCTTGGGCTTTAGACACAGAGCATCATGGAACCCAGTCTGGCCTTAAACTTACTATGTAGCCTTGAACTTCTTTTTTGTTTGTTTATTTTTCTAGACAAAGTTTCTCTGTATTGTTTTGGAGGCTGTCCTGGAACTTGCTCACTAGACCAGGCTGGCCTCAAACTCAGAGATCCACCTGTCTCTGCCTCCCGAGTGCTGGGATTAAAGTTGTGCACTACCAACACCCGGCTAGCCTTGAACTTCTAATCTTCCTGCGTCTACCTCCCCAGTGTTGGGATTACAGTTATGTGCCCCCATGCTTATCTATGCTAGCTAGTTTTATGTCAACTTAACACAAACTAGATTCACTTGGGAAGAGGGAATCTTAATAGGGAAAATGCCCATTCCAGACTGGCCTGTAGATAAGCCTGTGGTGCATTTTTTATTAGTAATTAATATGGGAGGGTTCAGCCCATTGTGGGTGGTGACACCCTTGGGCTGGTGATCCTGGGGGTATAAGAAAGTAGGCTAAGCAAGGCATAAGGAGTAAGCCAGTAAGCAGAACTCGTCCATGGCCTCGGCCATCAGTTCCTGTTTCTATGTCCCTGCCTTGAGTTCCTGCCCTGGCTTTCCTGGATGTTGGTCTATAAGCTGTAGGATGGAATAAACCCTACCCCCAATTTGCTTCTGGTCATGATCCTTATCATGGCGATAGAAACCCTAACTAAAACACTGCCCTTAGATTATTTCTATTTTGCAGGAAAAAAACAAAACATGCTGTGATCCCCTAGTTTCAGAGAGGAGCTCTGTCAGTGTCAAAATGAGCTAAGACATTTTAGACACTGAACCCAGCCTCAGATAATCACCATTTTGGGAACATTAACTTACATTCTTTGATGTCTTATTTTATCCTTAATATATCATTTTATAATCCTTGGGACACTCTAAAATGCAGTCAGGGTTACAAGGTGAGGGGCTGGTTGGGTAGAAAGCCCTGTAAAGAACAAAAGAAGCCAGAGGTGGAAGACCTCTGAGCACACAGACAGACGGTGCAGAGAAACGCACACACAGCTAGACACCGCTCAGTGGCTTAGGTGAGTCCAGGCTCGACTGAGATGGCTGATGGGCTAAGAGGATGCCACACATGAAGATGACATGGTACTGTGCACACGAGTCTCTGGAAACAATCAACAGTAGTTCTTTTTCTCACAGCACTGCTAATCCTGCCCTATACCTAAAGAGTGATTCATTGAAAAATATTCATATTTTCAAATATGCATATATGCATATATAATTAAACAAATGTAACATGTATAATTTCAAACACCTATAAAGCTCATAATTACTCACTAATTTATGTAATACAGTGAACAGTATAATGACTCCACTTCCCCAGGGAAGGCCTCATTATCTGGCTCCTCAGTCATCAACTCAAAGCCATTGTTACTTTTCTGCATCCTCCATGACACTCATCCTGGGCCATTCTGAAGGAAATCCCATGCATTAGAATCTCACTTGTATATATTTAATATTTGTCTCTAAAAGATAAAATTTCAGCAGGCAGTGGTGACACATGCCTTTAATCTCAGCACCAGGGAGTTAGAGGAAGGTGGATCTCTGAGTTTGACACCAGCCTGGTCTACAGAGTGAGTTCCAGGACAGCCAGGGCTACACAGAAACCGTGTCTCAAACAAACAAACAAAACTAAACTAAAGCCAGAACACCAAAAAAAATTCAATCTTATCACTGCTATACTTAAATTAATAGCTCCATCTGTCTTCATTTTAGGCAGCAAATGAAGCCCTGGTGAGTGAAGGCAGAGCTGTAAAATGCAGGTCAGTCAGCCCTTATCTCATGTAGATGAGACCTACAAATTTGAAAAATTTATATAGACTTTTCAGGTTGATCATCTCCAACCTGAAAACCACAAATGCTCCAATTTTGCACTTTGAGATGAAGGGTGTTCAACTATGCTGCAATCCCCATTGGCATTTATTGAATGAAGGACATGTCAGATTTGTTGCTAGGACCCCAGAGTAGGCTATGAGATTTCAAGAAGTTCAGTTGGGGTGGGAAGTCATGTGGACACACTCAACATGAAAATATTAGAGTCTGCTCTTCATGAGCAATCCCCTTTGTGACTCCATGCCATGGTGACACACATTACCTCAGGGTGACACATACAGCTCAGGAATGTGAGCCAGCACAAAGGGCAAGGGACTCACATGTGCATCCAGGACACAGGCAAGAAGCCACAGTCTGTGAGAGCTTTGCAGAGTCCAATGTTGTTGGTTTCTGTCTCCTTGGAAGTAGGAACACACACTTATTTGGCATGTAATAACTGTGCCATTCATGACAGGTAGAAGGGCTTCAGTTGTAAGGGATGCATGTGTGCATGTTCTCTATATTCCTTGCAAGGATTGGTGAGTGGGCCCTAAAGAATACCACATAAACAGGTCTTTTCACGAAGCTCCTGAAGATCCATGTGCAAAAATTTCTCTAGAACAAATTCCCATTCATTCTGTTTGTTTTGAGACAGGGTCTCACTATAATCCAGGATTCTCTGGAACTCGTTATGTAACTCAGGCTGAACTTGAACTCATGACAATCCTCCTGAGTGCTGGGACTGCAGGAATGAACAACACCTGTACTAATTCTAGTTCTCTAGTTGCTAACTGGTTTTCATGCCTCCTGTACCGCCCTTCACACCAAGTTGTCTTCCTAAAGCTCATATCTGGTCCTGCCGCCTCATTAATAGGCATCTAAGATTCTCTCACTTCCTTAGCTCAGCACCCTAAATTCTCCGAAATCCAACCCTGACTTACCGAAGAGCCCACTGCTCTCTGCCCACCACTCTAGCCTCCTGACAAGCAAAGCTTTCACAGCAGAGCATGCTTCCCCACTGAAGTGAAACACTGAATTCACTCCTAGAACAAAGAACAGGACAGCCCAGTATTAAAAGCTACCCTTCGTGTCAGACTGGATTGAATCCTGCCTGTGTCATTCACCAACTGTGTGTCTCTGAGAAAAATCACTTAATCTGACACAAATTTCTCCAGTTGTAACATGGGATAATGATAAATGATAGCACACATCTCACTGAGTTGCCAGGAGGGTTCAGTTGGATGAGGCAGGTACATGCTTAGCCCAACATCCTCACACGTAAACATTCAACCTACAATAACCTGTGTTAAATCCATCTACAGCTCAGCTGACTGCCATTCCGCCTTTCCAGCACCCCAGCCCCCAGAATCCCACGGCTCTTCCATACCTCAGCCTTCTTCCTGCCTCGTTATAATTATTTGTAGACACAACTGCTGTGGACCAATCTTTGTACACTGGAAATATATATTACTTTCATTGGTTAATAAAGAGCTGACTATAGCTGGGCAGGAAGAGATTAGGCGGGAGAGCCTGACTAGGAGGATGCTGGGAAAAAGGTCTCAGGGGTCACCAGCCAGACTTGGAAGGAGAAACGTGGAAAGTACATAGAGGTAAACAAGCCACGGAGTAGCACATAGATTTAATAGAAATGGGTTAATTTAGGTTATGGGCTAGCTAAAAATAAGGCTAAGCTATCAGTGGAGCTTTCATAATTAATTTTAAAAAAACCCTCCATGTGGCCATATGGCTATCTGGGATCTACTGGTGGGACTGAGCTGACCAGTGGTCCCAATAAAAACCCCCACCAACACACAACTTTACTGAATCCCTGCCCTTTGACACATGCTCTAAGAAAATAAATTGAGGAAACTTTAATCTGTAACTATGGAAAATCTAATTAGCAAACAGACACCAGCAATTCAGGAATAATTCACCAGTTTGCTGAATGAAGCAGTGGTTCACTGTCATCTATGTGATGTTTAGTTGCCCTGAGGATTTTTTTTTAATGACACAATCTCAGTTGGAGCTAAATTTCAAAGGGGAGCTGTTTCTCCTCCTACTAGGCAAAGTTTATTCCCCAAGAGCAAAAACTGAATTATAGTTGATCAAAGAAAACCTGTCAAGAGAAAAGCATTATCAGTAATATAAGGCTCAAAAGAGACTTTTGTAAGTAAGTAAGGAAGTAAGACTTTCCTACTCCCTAAGCTTTCACCAAAAGAAATACACAATGTGTTGGAGTTACAACATAGCAGAGGGCTGCAATCACTACCAGTCTCCCTTGCCTGATGATATGGTTGTGATGTGTTTTCTTGGCGTATAGATGACATTGAGAACAGGTGATGTCGTCTACATAGCTATGCTGTACCTCACATCCCCATGTCCTGTCTATAGACAGTTAAAGTTATGAGGGCTTCAGCTACAGCACGCCAGTAATCCTACCTGCTGCAGCAGTCATGTACCTTATATTGAATGATGCCCTGTCACTGCTGGGTGCTCACTGTCATCAAGACTTCAAGCAAGGCTATTTGAGCTCTGCCTCACCCAAATACCTGAAGATGACACCCACGCCTACCACAAGAGGAAGCGATGCACCTGGGCAGCATGTTTCTACCGTGTGAACTGAGTGCATGTCATCAAAGTGACTTCTTATGAAGTGACTTCCCTGGGCTGGCAGAGTTGAAGTGGCTTGCCTGCTGGGCACAGCTGCTTACTATCTTCCTACTGCTGCATTCATGCCAGGCTAGGCAGCATGGTCTGGTGGGAGGGTCTGCCTCATTGCCTCACCCCATCTCCAGATTTCTACCTCTGCCAGGAATTATGGAAGGGGGGGCTTTAGCTAATTATGGCCAGTTCTGTTTCTGAACATAGTTTGTTTCTAAAACATGGAACCAAACAATAAGCTATTCTAAGGACAGGTCATTCTCAGGAAGCTAGACTCCCTGGGAAGCCCCCGACCCCCTCCCCCATCCACATTCAGGCAATGACCAGCTGTCCTTCATTCCCTCCCTCCTCCCCTCCCTCTTCCCATTCTCCTCTCCTCTGCTCCTGCTCCTCCTCCCTCTTCTCTCCCTCCCCCCCACTTTCTCTCAAGTAGCCCATTCTGGCTTAGAACTAAGTGCCAAAGGCTGACCTGGATTCCCCAGTGCTAGGAATGCATTCATGTGACACTGCCCACTTTATGGGGAGCTGGG